GAGCACTCTGTGTGCCCCATGAGCTCCTTCCTCCCCGCAGGCCGGGCCGCAGCAGAGCTCGATGCTCTCACCCACATCCTGTTTGTGATCGTGGCTGTGAACCTGTCATGCTGTCATCTCTGGCACCCAAGGAGTGCTCTCGCTGCTGCTGGGAGGGCATCTCTTGTTTGGTCTGTGTGAAGTTTGTCGGGTGTTGAGGCTCCTCCAGCCTCTCCTCACCCTCAGTCAGTGCCTGTCTCCCCAAAWGTGGCAAATTAACCCTCCACACCAAAGGAATCACCACTTTGGACTGCAAAGCTGCAATCATTTCAGCACTTTCTCAGTGCTGGGGTGTCTATTCCCTTTGGGCACTCCCACAGCCCTCACCAGATGTTCTGTTTTTGCTGTCCCCATTTGCTTTTGGACAGCCCTACATCTGCCTTTAACTCACCATGGCGGCCAAATAGAACCAATTGCTGATTATTTTTTGCCTTTCAGCTGGTGCTGCTGACAATGAAAACAAGAACTCTGAGACAGCAGATCATGGGAAAAAACCCTTGGTGTCTTGTGATGAGCTCCAGAGGCCAGAGCAGCATCAGAAATGGCTGGGGATGGGTTTTGAGAAATGGCTGGGGATGGGTTTTGGGAAATGGCTGGGGGTGGGTTTTGAGCCCTTGTGTGTAGGAGCAGAAGGTCCCTCCAGGCTCAGGGGCCGGGGATGGGTTTTGAGAAATGGCTGGGGATGGGTTTTGAGAAATGGCTGGGGATGGGTTTGGAGCCCCTGTGTGTGTAGGAGCAGAAGCTCCCTCCAGGCTCAGGGGCTGGGGATGGGTTTTGAGAAATGGCTGGGAATGGGTTTTGAGCCCCTGTGTGTGTAGGAGCAGAAGGTCCCTCCAGGCTCAGGGGCTGGGGTGGGACCCACAGCAGGCTCTCGGTGCAGCAATGAGGACAGGACATCATCTCCTGTACAAACCACATCAGCTCCTCTCCTGATTGTCCTCTGGCTCTCCTGATTTCCTCCAGGTCCCCTGAGTGCCTTTCCCAGAGATCTGCCATATTTCCAACACTGAATCCTTCCCACAGGAATTACAGAGGCCACTACTGACTCTTCTGGCTCAGCAGCGCTCATGAATTAGCGAAGTTTTGGGAACAGATTGTTTTTGTTTGGAGCCCATCTCGGAGRGAAGCGATTGGATTTAGGCTGTGGTTTCTGACGAGCCCAGAAACCCTGGCACAGCGAGGGTACAACTGCACAGGCTGCCCGGGCAACAGGCGGATGAATCACACAAGGGCTTTGAATTACAGTTAAAATGCTTCCAGTTGTATTTGAAAAACATCATTAGGCTGCTCAGGCTGAACAAACAGCCCATTGCTGTGTACTCAGAGGGAGAAAAAATATCTTTTTTTCCCTCACATCTGTGCCCACAGCTATTAAACCCCACTTCACACACACTCTCGTGTCATCCCTACTGCTTCTGAAGAAATGTGAGCAGGTACGGAGTGCTGAGAGCAGGGGGAACACGGGACCGAGGGGAGGGTCCTGCACCCCCGGGGCTCTGGGGGAGAGGGTCCCCAGCACAGCAC